TCTGAAAGAATCTTTAAATATCCCCTAAACTAGACAAAACTACTCTTTTGAACAAATAAATAACACATCTTTATAACTTATTTATAAAAACATATTTTTGTACACTTGGGATTCAGAATTTTTTCTCTGATTCTAGTCTTAGCACCATATACTAATCAGAATTTCAACCCCATTTACATTTACCTAATTCACTTGTTTTGTTTGCTTGTTTGTTTTTTTTTGTTTTCTGTTTCATTTTGCCATAGGGTATATGTGCTTGCCAGAGAAGAAATAGACAGAAAGAGGGAACGTGAGACACCATGTCCCCCAGAGGAATTGTCACACAATCTCTATCCCTCCATTCTTTTCTTGGAGACTTTGGGTACACACCCACACACAAGCCTGGTGTGATTTCTAAGCCACCATATTAGGGACTCAAACCATGCAGCTTGCCATGAGAATCCTTTTTATTTGTATCCAGTCTTTTTCTATGATATTCTATTTTTCATTCACTTACTCTGAAAGAATCTTTAAATATCCTCTAAACTAGACAAAACTACTCTTTTGAACAAATAAATAACACATCTTTATAACTTATTTATAAAAACATATTTTTGTACACTTGGGATTCAGAATTTTTTCTCTGATTCTAGTCTTAGCACCATATACTAATCAGAATTTCAACCCCATTTACATTTACCTAATTCACTTGTTTTGTTTGCTTCTTTGTTTGTTTTCTGTTTTGTTTTGCCATAGGGTATATGTGCTTGCCAGAGAAGAAATAGACAGAGAGAGGGAAAGTGAGAAATCACGTCCCCTGGGGGAATTGTCACACAATCTCTATCCCTCTATTCTTTTCTTGGGAGATTTTGGGCACGCACCCACACACAACCCTGGTGTGATTTCCAAGCCACCATATCAGGGACTCAAACCATGCAGCTTGCCATGAGAATCCAGCCACCCTAATCACCTGCTGACCCCAGTTAGCTCGTTCTTAACCATTATATTTGAGTTGCTCATGGAACACAAAGATAGACATGTTAAGTTATTATCATTTTCTTTGAAAAAGTAAAACCACACTAGTCAGCATCAGATAGTCTCATCTTTTATCCCCCCCACCTGTTTTCTTTTTAAAATTTTTGCCATAGGGTGCATGTTCTTGCAGGAGAAAGAGAGAATAAGACAGAAGGAAAGTGAGAAAGTACTCCCCAGGGTGATGATCATGCCACAACTCCTGCTTCTTCACTCTCTTTGTGAGACTTTGGGCATGAACACATATGTGCCCTGCACGTTTTTTAAGCCACTGGTGTCAGGACTCAGACTGCACAGTCAGCCATGTGAGATCCAGCCACCTTCACCCCAGGCCTTCGGCTGGCCCCACTAGTCTCATCTCAACTAAAGACCAGATATTGGATACAGACATTTTCCTAATGTTTCCCTAGTTGTTCTTGCCCTCAGCACCCATGTAGCACTTGAAGTGATGTGAAGAATAGAGCCCATTTGTGTCCTTGACTTACATGTTACAATTTTGAAGACATTTTACTAACTTTATTTACCAAAGATTTTTACCCAAGTCATGAGCACTAGAAAATTGTTTAGGCTTTTATTTAATCTGTGAACATGGATTTAAGTCCATGTGATACCATATTTATAGGCATAAACATATTAACACAATATACCATGCACATGTGTAGACACACATGCAATGCCAAGCAAGTTAGTTTATCCACCACATATAGCTAAGGTACAACCCAAGTTCAAGTGTCCTCTCACAGTACAAAATAACTTCGAGTACCCCACAAACCAAAGAGCATGCTAATATTTAATTTTCCATTCTACTCTATTTCACAACTGAGCAGATTTCAAGAGCAAACAATACCACTTTCAGTATCGCCAGAAAGATCCCAGAATTTCAATTGTCCCTTCTCTCCCATAAGAGCCAGGGCTAGAGAAACACACATAAATATGCACGCACACACACATACACAGATTTTTGTAGAGGTTACCAAACTTGCAGACATATAATGCAAAACATTCCATCCTTTTATCAAAATGTGGACAGTCACACCCACACATATTCTATCAAACAGAAACCAAACTTTTTTTCTTTTTTTGGAGAGGTTTTTGCTATAGGGCACATGCGCTCACCAAAAAGACAGAGAGACAGAAAGTGAGAAATCACACCAGAGGGGGGATGGCTATGCTGCAATCCCACCTCCTCCATTCTCCTCTCAGGATTTTGGGCACTCACGCACACATGCCCAGTGTGAATTTAAGGCACACATGCCCAGCATGAATTTAAGCCACCAGATTTGGGACTTGAACCATGGTTGACTACATGGGAGTCCAGCAGCATACCCATTACACCAACTACTGGTCCCCAGAAACCAAACATTTAAAGGGAGGTTTAGCTACGCAAATTGGGGGAAATTCCACATTAATTGCTCTGCCAGGTATGAAGCGAGGAGACTATTTACTACTCTTCACATACAAATTCAAAGGGATTGAGACTCCAAAAGTAGGTTTTTCTCTGACCCTTAAGCAGAAGAAACCTAGAGAGGTGATGTTGCAGTATCAGCTGTCTCCACCAGAGGTCCCTCCACCAGCATGGGCTCTCGTTCACTTCCCCAGGTTGGCTTTCTCCCCAGTGACCTGAATGAAGTTCTTCCTCTTCCTCTGCAGAAGAGGCAGGATCTTACTCTAGCCCCACTTCTGCAAGTCCTGCTGCACAATTGCAGTGCAACTTAAAGAATGATTTTTGGCCACATCTCCCCAATATCTAGGTGATAATGTGGCCCTAGTTCTGTAGTATACACCCCAGAGGACTTCTGGCTGGTTGAGAGCTTGTTACCCAGTCAAAGCTAACACCAAAGTAACTGAACAAAACACACGGAGGTAAAAACACAAGCACAGATTGTCATGGATTTCAAAAGAGACCTTCTGCCACTTAGCTGGTACGTGCAAACCAGTTTTCTGCAAATGTGGACCCTTACAAGAAAGAGACACCAAAGTAACATTAAGGACAAAATTTTCTGTGGACCTAAAAGAGATCTCTGAGTCATTTATCTTCTGGATGGGCACAAAGACCTTTCCCACTTAGCAGGGACCTGCAAATCACCATCCTGAAAATGTGAACCCTTACAAGAAGAGGATATCAAAGTAACATTACAGACACAAATTATTTCTGTGGACTTAAAAGATATCTTCTGAGGCATTTATCTTCTGGACAGACACAGAGACCTTTCCCACTTAGCTGGGACCTGTAAATCAGCATCCCACACACCCAACTCTTACAAGAAAAGGATTAGCCAAAAGGAAAAGGATAATACTTTTCCAGGAAAACCAGACAAGCACTCACCTATTTAGACAACAAATGTGAGCTCCTTTCGAGTTCCAGCCAAACCATGTTCCTAATTCTGGCATTCCCAGCTGTTGGCCAACTGCATTCCCCCAGGACTATGTTACATGGTTGCACCTAGGGGCATACTCCTCCAGGTGGCTCTTGCATTCCCAGTCCTCAGACTAAAACAGCAGGGCAGTTGCTAGGGCATATCTAAAGGCAGTGGCTCCCAATCCCTGAGCAATAGGGGATCATGGACCTGTTACTGAACCAAAGTAGGTATGGACCAGGAACAGTCACTGTGAGAAAGGCCAAATTCCAACTCATGAGATTTGTCCAGGATGGATGGGTAACAATGGGTGACTTTGTCCAGGAATCAGCTAACTTTGCTCAAAAGGCCCAGTATGTTTGGGGACTGGCTTCAATGGAGAAATAATTCCTCCTAGTCTTTAATTTAGTCCATGTATGCAAATGAAGGATAAAAACTTGTGCAATTCTGATAGGTCAATTCAAGGTACAGCCCACTGGTCCATTATTGAAACTGGTACTTTGTGATTGGTTGCTCTGCTGCAGCTAGTGTGCATACTCTCTCTCTGCAGGGGGGTCAGCTTAGGTTACTCAGACTTCTTGGGCAGGCACCCACCAACAAAAGCTGCCCCAAACAACAGTCACCACCAGTCTAGTTCTGACTGGTTACATTTTTGTGAGAACTCGAATAGATTCCTTCAAGTTTAACTTTCTATGGAGAGGCTCTAATTCTATGAAATGAACAATTTATCACAAAAGACAGCATTGTCTGGAGGAATGAGCTGTTTAATCTTTCGTCCTAAAGCCAAAATGCACCAGATGTAATTGATTCATTATACTTTTTGAAGATAGTCACCAGCATTCCAAATGGAATATATATTTCTCATTTTTCATTAAAATATTGATATTTTGAAATATAGACACTGATGACTAGATTAGTACTTTTTATGATACTTATTATCCAACTTTAATCACATTGTCATTTTCTCTTTTTCTTCACCTTTCTCCTATCTGACAGGAATGCTGCTTTACTCTCCATGCTCAGCAAATGTTCAGTTCAATTTATTTTCAGAAATAATGTTCCATGTGCAGTTATTAATCTGAAAGTAATCATTTTTTTCTGGTCCTCTACCATGCTTTTAATTTGCAGGTCAAATTTCATTAGCTCACCAATGTAGGCAGAAAAAAAAATTAAGGGCTTTGGTCTCTTTTTCTCTGTGAGAATATAATTATAGAGCAACATTCACATTTGTTCTGGGGAAAATTAATCTATTTTTAGCTGTAAATTATATGCTTGAGATAAATATACAATTAGCAGACTGGAATTGACTGCTCACTGTCAGCCATGCAGGAACATTTGAGTCCTGCAGTTCGGTGCTGTTGAAGCTAACTGACAGGAGTCCCTTGTGCCGGAGAATGGCTGACAAACAGACTTCAGAACTAATTTCATGAGAGCCATTAAATTATCTTTCTTTTTTAGGTGTGGTATAATCAGAAGGGTTTTCATTCCCTACCTTCCTACTTAAATCATCTAAACAACCTCATTTTGTGGCGGCACTTACCCTCGGCTGTGGACTGGAGACAATATGGTAATGTTATTTTTTCATGCATTAGTATTCACTACTTTCAAAAGACAATGTTTGTAGAAGTGAAAGGAGTGAAAAGTTCTGAATAAGAATGTCAAGAGGGATGGGAAGGTTCCTACTTGGTAGCTAAACCATATGTAAACACATAAAAAGGGAATAAACGGTCTTCTTCCTCTGTGTCATTAACTGTCTTCCTCTGTGTCATTAACCTTCTTGAAACCATGACCTCTTCTGTGAGAGGGAGGGAAGAAAAGATGCCTTTGGAGTTCCCTCTCCAAATTATTTTACCCTGTGATTTTAATACCCTACAGATGCAAGAATAATCTCACTTTTTAAGGATACCATTATCTAAATACTATAAGGGAGACTACAGTGTTAGGAAGGTGATCATCTTACTTTAATTTATGCTGGGCTCGTAACTCTTTGATTATCTGTGATAATCATTGATTTACTATTGATGACATCTTCATTTGATAGATTACACAGGTCTTCTGTAATCCAGAGTTAATGTATTAGCTTAGGGCAATATTTTGTTGTTTGTTTATTTTATTTGGGTGGAGTAATTTATATTTTATCAAATGTGTTCAGTCTCTTTTAAAAAATAAAGAAAAACAGGAAATAAAAGCAACAACAGGCCAGGCCATATGCATCATCATTTATTCATAAACAAAAATATTTTTGAGAAATCAATTCAGATAGAAATCAGTGCTAACTCATTATTCTCATATGCTATAGCTTTATCCCAAGCTTATCTAATTTCTACATATGTGTTTCTTTTATCTGTCAATTAATAAAATAAACTTAATTATTTTGTGGTACCAAGTTATTTTGGAGTAATAGGTAATATAAATAATTTAAAATGTATATGACTAAAAATAAAGCCATACAACATAAGGACAGCAATAAAATAAGCTTAATTATTTTGTGGTAACAAGTTATTTGTAGTAATAGGTAATATAAATAATTTAAAATGTATATGACTAAAAATAAAGCCATACAACATAAGGACAGCAAAATGACACTGATTATTTGAAGTGAAATAAGGACTCTATTAGAAAGTATTTGCCAACTTTACTGATTAGAAAACTGATGTTTAGGGGGCCATTAGGTGGCATGGTGGTTAAGGTGTTGGACTCCCACAGGGCCAACTGCGGTTTGAGTCCCAGACTTGGCAGCTTGTTTTCTCACTTTTCCTCTGTCTGTCTGTCTGTCTCTGGTGAGCATGTACCCTCTGGCAATTTGAAAAATAATAATAATTATAAATTAAATTAGTATTTTAATAGAAGAAAAGTAATGTTTAGAAAAATGGTCTACAAACCAGAAGTCATACTTCTGGTAGGCATATATAGGGCATAATTTATGAGCAGGAAATTACTAACTTTAGACTTTGAACAGTGAGCAGGATTTTGAGGTCAGGAAGTTATGCTAGGTATTAGCAATGCATTAGACACCATAGTGTGTGTTTAAGCTATATGGAAGAGTCCATTTTGATCTTATAAAGGTGAGCATAGAGGGATAATTGTTCTTGGGTTTGGAAAGATTGTTTGAGGTGAAATTCTGCTGAGCCTTTACTGAAAGTGTAAGAATATCTCAAAAGGGCAAAAAAAAAAAAGAGCAAGGGACAGAGAGATTATTTCCAAATTCCCAAATTTGAGGAAAGACATGTACATACAAATACAACAGTCTTAAAAACGCCAGAGGGCCGACCAGATAGTATGGTGGTTGAGGTGGCTAGATACTACATGGCCAACTGTGGAGTCTGAGTCCTGGACCTGAAAGTCTAAGAAACATGTCAGGTGTGTGTGTGTGTGTTTGTGTGTATATGCCCCAAATCCCAAGAGGGGAGTGGAGGAGAGAGGATTGTGGCATGGTAATCCAGGGTGTGCTTTCTCACTTTCTTTCTCCCTCTTCCTATCTGTCTCTGGCAAGTGCACAAACTCTTCAGCAAACTGAAAACAAAGAAAGAGAACAGAACAATTCCAAGCAGAATGGATGAATCTAAAGAGATCCATACTGGGACACAATATAAGATCAAACTTCCAAAAGCTAAAAATAGAAACATGAAAGCACCAGGAGAAAAGTGACTTAGGACATAAGGAGGAATATGTCAGTAAGTTTACTCAGTAAGAGTAATGAGCAAAGTTCCTATCAAATGTCTTGAAGACCAGAATGTAGTGGGACAGTTTATTCCAAATACTGAAAGGAAAAACAGTTATCCAAGAATCCTATGTCCAGTAAAATAGTAATTCAATGAGAGGGAAATTAAGACATTTACAGATAATTAAAAGTCGAGGGAATTTACTAACACTAGACTATCCCTGTAAGAAATTCTAAATGAAATCTTTTAGATTGAAATGAAAGGCCACCTAGAGTAACTCAAACTCATATAAAACTATAAAATTCCCTACTAAAAGTAAATACATGGACAAATAGGAAAACTAGTATATTATAATATTGATTTGTAACTCTTTTTTTTCTTTTTAATTTTGCCAGAGGGCGTGTGTGCTTGCATGAGGGGGAGAGAGAGACAGAGAGAGAGAGAGAGATAGGGAGAGAGAGAGAAAGTAAGAAAACAACCCCTCCCTCAAGGGGAATGGTCATGCCACAATCCCTTCTCCTCCATTTCTTCTTCCTTTTGGGATCCCAGATATGCATACACACATGGTGCCTGGCATGTTTTTCAAACTGCTAGGTCCAGGACTCAAACTGCATAATTGGCCATGAGGGTCTAGTCATTTCAGTCACCACACTGCAGGCTAGCCCAACTCCACTTTTTATTCTGAAAGATTTAAGTGGAAAAATATATAATAAAAATATAAATCTATGTTAATATGTACACCATATATGAAGACACAATTTGTGATATCATTAACATATGGTATTATAAGGCATAAAACTATAAAAAATATAGTTTTTCTATGTAATTGTTTTTAAGTTGGAATCATTTAAAAAATAGATTGTTGGGATGAATAGATAGATAATGGTTACGTCACTGGACTTCCATGTAGTCAACTGCAGTTTGAGTCCTGGGCCTGGAGACTTAAAATCCATGCTGGGTGCATGTATGTGCAAGCCCACAATCCTGAAAGGAGAATAGATGAGAAAGGATTGTGGCATGGCCATCCCCATGGAGGGTGATTTCTCACTTTCTGTTTCTCTGTCTCTCTCTGTCTCTCCAGCAAGCACATGCACCCCATAGCAAAAAGCTCTCTAACAAAATAAAATGAAAATAGATTGTTATAACTTTAGGATGTGTTACATGTAATTTCTCTGGTAACCACAAAGAAAATATCTATATCATATCTGTGTCACATACACAATGAAAGTGATTACATGTAATTTCTCTGGTAACCACCAAGAAAATATGTACATCATATCTGTGTCACATACACAATGAAAGTGAAAAGAGAATGAAAGCTTGTCACTAAAAAGAAAAATCAACTGAATGCAAAAGAAGTCAGTACAGGACAAAACGGTGATGGATGAGACATGTAGGAAATAATAACAAAATGACAGTAGTAAGTACTTTCTTACCAGTAATTACATGGAATGTAAAGGATTAAATTTACCAATCAAATAGATTATCAAAATGTATGGCTAGATGGGTAAATAGATAGATAGGTGTAGAAATAAATAAATAAAGCCTTAAATTAAGTCCTGGTGCAGGCAGGAAGGCATCACCATTAGGTGACTGAGGCTTTATGAGAGGCCAGGGTTTGGTTCCCAGCCCAACTTAAATGGCTGCATGTGGTGGCTGGTGCCTGTGGCCCTAGCTAACTGGGAGCCTGGAGCAGGAGGATCATGACATGGAAAGGCCCTTTCAAAAAATACATCTCTTTCTCTCTCTCCAACCTCTCACTTCCTCTTTCTCATGAACAAAATAAGTTATTCAACTTCTTGCTATGTAGAACTTACTTTAAATCTAAGAACATGTGTAGGTTGACTATAAGGATGGAAAAAATATTCTATGCAAATAATAACTAAAAAGAGTAGTGGTCACTATATTAAGTGAAAAACCGCTACAAGAGACAAAAAAAGAACATTATATTATCATCAAAGTATCCATTTATCAAGACAATGTAACAATTGTAAATATATATGTACCAAACACCAGTGTTCCTAAATAATGAAGTAGACATAGACAGAATTAAGAAGAGAAATACATAGCTCTACATAATATTAAGATACTTCATACTTCAGTATGGACAGAACAAAAACACAGGACTAATAAGGAAACTTAGGTGGAAATAGTATAGACCAACTATACCTAACAGACATGAACAGAGCATGCCATCCAACAGCAGCAAAATACACATTTTTTTCCCCATGTGCACATGGAACAATTTCTCAGTTAGGCAATATACTACTTCATAAAACTAGTGTTAATAAAATTAAAAGGATTGAAATTATACAAAATATCTTTTCTAGTGGAATGAAACTGTAAAAACCAGCAGAAAGCAAAGTAAAACAAATCAACAAATATGTGAAAATTAATTAGTACACCCTTACACAGATGAGTTAGAGGATAAATCACAAGGGAAATCAGAACATATCCTGAGACAAAGGACAATAAGAATACAATATATCAAAATGTTGGGGTTGCAACAAAAGTAATATTATGAGGGAAACTTAAAACTATATATGCTTATATTAAAAAAGAATAAAGTCTCAAATCAACCCTGTAATTTTACACTACGAAGGACTAGAAAAAAATGATGTTAACCCAACAACAGTAGATTACAATAAATAATAAAGATTAGTGCAGAGTTAAACAAAATAGAGAATTAAACAATGGAGGCAACCAGGGACCAGCAGATGGTGTAACGATTAGGTTACTGGACCCCCACGTAGTCGACCATGGTTCGAGTCCTGGACCCCATGGATTAAAACTCACACTGGGCATGTGTGCCCAAGATCTGGAAAGGAGAATGGAGAAGGGATTGCAGCGTAGCTATCCCCCTTGAGGGATGGTTTCTCATTTTCTGTCTTGTCTCTCTGGTGAG